ATACAAGGAGCTCTAACAGTCCAGAAAAGTCAGGCAGGGTCTCCAAGGGCCACAAGCTCTGTTTGAAACTGGGTGCCATGATCTGCCTGGTGCAATTTCAGTCATTATCTCAAGGAAGAACTTGCTATGATTTATAACCTGCAGGTATTGAGAAAGGACAGGCTAGTGCAGAGGTTCACGTGCCCCTTTGCTTTGCTTTCCTCACTCAAAGTGCTGTGCTGGTGGAAGATCTTTCTGGTGTTTGGGTTGATGCATTTGTGTGAGGGCAGGAGTAATTTCTCATGCAGACTCAAGGGCCAGGAGCATGTATTTTTTAAAGGCACATTTTGACTGCAATCGTTCTGACATTTGCTGATCAGCAGCTGAGTAGGTAGAGCAAAACTTGTTCCAGGTGAGTGGGTTCTTGAGTGATTCAGTGAACTGTGTCTGCTGTCTGGGGGGAGGCACATGGACATCAGGCTGCTGGTCTCTGCAAGCCTTCCCTTGACAGGTGCCCTGTGTGCTGTGGTCCTCTCAGAGCCTGCAGACCAGGGGGAGTCCTTGGATGACAGAAATTCATGGAAGAAATTCTTCCCTGTGAGGGTGTTGAGACCCTGGCCCGGGTTGCCCAGGGAAGCTGTGGCTGCCCCATCCCTGGCAGTGTTGAAGGGCAGGTTGGATGGGGCTTGGAGCAACCTGGGCTGGTGGGAGGTGTCCCTGCCCATGCAGGGGCTTGGATCTAGATGATCTTTAAGGTCCCTTCCAACCCAACCCATTCCATGATTCTATAATATGACAGAAAATACCCACCTAAGGCAGGAGGTGCTTTGCATCCATCCAGTTCAGTGCCTTCTTCACAAGAAAATGGAGCACATTTTTCCATGTGCTTGTACAATTTTCTCTGTAAATAAAAACTTGTAAGGGGCAGACTTTTTTTCCCCTAAACTAACTCACAGCTTTTTGCAAGGCATCATCCAAGACAGGGTAGGATGGATGGCTGGAAAATGCATCTGCCCTCACTGATTTACATCTTTTCAGCTGGTGATAAATGGGCAGTTTGGGTGTTTCTCCTCCCTTCAGGCTCCACCTGTCACTGTAGAGCAAATAAAGTGCTGTGAGATCTTGGACAAAAAAGCTGTGTTACACTGTGGGTGAGGACTGAGAGACTGAAGTATCTGCCTACAATCTGTTCCCTTCAGCTGCCATTTGTGCCTGCAGACTTTGCAGTCAGAAATATTCTATCTTTATGTATTTCCAGAACGGGGAAGCATCCTTGTTTGAGGTGAACATCCGCTACATTGGAGGACTGTTGGCCACCTACTACTTGACTGGAGAAGAGGTTTGTTTCAGCAGCTCTGACTGACACAGTCACCAGCAATGAACTCAAAGGGTTCTCCAGCAGCTTTTCTCTGAGCATCAGATAATCCCTCCATAACAACAGGCTAAACCCATCGTTTTTATGAATATCGAAATGCCACTAATGGTCTTTTAATTAAGTCTCGCATAATTACCTTGCACACACCATGCATGGCTCATTTGCAAAGATCTTTTCTCCTGTGGGCAATTCTAGCAAGACATATTTTTGGTTGGAGACATTGCTCCCCAGTGAAATGCCATTTGCAGTGATCTTTGTACTTGTTCCTTTATATTCCAAACACAGGCAAGATTTCCTCAAACAGCATTCCAGATCCTGCCTCAGACCAAGGAGGGCAACTGGTCAGTGGCAAGTGCTTCACACCCTACCTGAACAGTCTCTCTGTATTTTTAAGATAAAGTGCCCTGAGGGGCAGAGAAGGAGGGTGACAAACTTCCAGGATGGGTACCTGCATCCTGCCAACTCATGTGACAAAGTGCTACAGCTCCACAAATTGTCTCCTTGCCCAGGAGGTGTCACAGTCTCTCCTGTAGCCTGGTGAAGCAGCCCTTTGCCCCTGGCTGAAGCAGGAGGCTCTGGCTTCCACTTTGGTTCTTCTCTCCAGCCCAGCAGAGGCCAGGGCTTAATGCCATAATCTGTTTTATGATGTGACTGGACTGGAATTTTACAATTGGCTGTAGAGACATGAAGAGAATATTCCTTTGCCCTGGAAGAATTAGGCAAGCAGGAACCCTTATTCAAGGGGGAAGGAACTGGAAGAGTGGCTCTTAAAGGAGAGCTAAGCTCTGATGCCACGTGCTGAACATGGCTGGGTGCTGCCCACCATAACAGGACAGGGTGGCTCATCCCTGCCTAGTGGCACCATTGATCTATGAAGTCACAGGAGCAGCTCTGTTACTTCAGTTGCATTTTAAATGACTTCCAGGAACAACTTTTCTCTGTGTTTTTCCTCCAGGGAAAACTCAAAGATTCAGTGCCCCGACTCAGGGACTGTCTTAGTCACAACTTCAACGGGCTTCAGATCAACAGAGCAAAAAAGAAACCACATTTAACCATGAAACTCCAGCAGTGACCTCTTGAGGAGCACTCAACAGTGATGCTCAGCAGCCAGGGCAGTGTCTGTCATACACCCAGTCAGTGTCACCAGGCTGAAAGGCAAAAATCATGTCCCTGTGTCTTGCTTTGCCTTCTGAACCAAATTCCTATCTCCTTGTGAGTGGATCAGAAGTCTAGAAACCCACAGGAGAGAGCTCAGGTCTCCTTGGGGCTGTGTTTATAGAGCAGTAAATTCCTGCTTTCTGAGAAGTACCATGACAACTTGGGCTGGTGGAAGGAGGCTGGAGGTAAAAGGCTTGTACTTTATCTCCTAAGTCACTTACAGGCTTCCCTTGATCAGGACTAATCTCTGGAGCAAAGATTAGTGCTTGTATCAGGTTGTCCCAAAATAATTGTGTATGGTGGCTTTGTGCTGCAAGCCCCATAAGCTATAATTTGATCTGAAAGCCTGAAACTGAGGCATTAAAAATGGAAAAGGAGCAGCTTAGCCATGAAACCATGAATGCTTCCTAGAAGAGTTGCAAGTAAAAGATTGTTGGAAATGGTGTTTTTTACAACAAGAGATGACACAAGCTGGGCAAACCCACATTGTAAATCTAAAATTGCTTCACCCTGGAAAAATTTCTTTTGGCTTTAATTCAGCCATTTCATCTCCCTGTGTCCTGTGCCACCCTGGGAAAAGGGAAGAATTTGTCCCCAAGGAGAACTCTTTGGATCAGTTCAGATGACAGACATTTGCTGCTGAGGTATTTGGGGTGTTCTGCAGCTCTGGCTGCTCACATCCAGGCTGAGGGTTTGGCAGAGGACTTGGGACTGGATTAGTGTCCATTTTTAGAGGACATTAGGATAGATACCAAAGTTGAGTGTGGCTTTCCCATCAACTCTCTCATCCAGTGGAACTAGGGCAGCAGCTTTTCTGAAACCAGAGATCCCTTCAGGGCAGCAGGTTGAGTTTTTTTATAATGGTGTGTTTGAAAAAGTGGATTTGGAAGAACCCAGTGTGACTAGTATCCACAAGCCCTCCATCAAGTATTTATATCCTCTTTTCTTCTTTTAACAGGTGTTCAAGAGTAAAGCCCTGGAACTTGGAGAGAAACTTTTGCCAGCTTTTAACACCCCCACTGGTATCCCACGTGGCGTCATAAATCTGGGCAGGCAAGACACCCATCCTTCCAAGCATGTCATTTTATGATTACTGAATGTTTGTAAGAGACTAGGATTCAAGCAGGAACAGCAGTTCCCCCTCAGTGCCCCCCCTCTAGCGCAGATTCTTCGAGGTCATTTGTTTTGCCAACTCAAAAACCAAGAGGTGCCTTGGCAGAGACTGCAGGTGACTCAAGTTAAACCCAGCTGTGTTTTATTAACTTGGGGCTGTCCACAGTTTCTTCCTCTACCTCTTGGCAGGGCTCCCTGCTTGCAATAGCATTTTCCTCACTCTCATTTTCTTTGAAAGGTTATTTGTAGTCTGCACGTAGCAGGCACTGCTCCCTGTGTTTTTGCAGTGTGCCCAACTAGATGCATGTGCATTTATCCAAGGCTCCATGTTTGGAAAAACAGGGAAAGGAACTGGGATGGTACTGGCTGACAGTTTTGCTGCTAGAAAGGGGGGTCTATACAGATCCTCTAGTTTTCTCCCTGCTGGCAGCACTCAGCCAGGTGTGTATCCTTCACTTAGAGCCACAACATTTCATGTCAGGTAGGTGGTGTTCTCCTGCTG